TAGATGACAAGAGTGTACATAAAACATATAGATGGGAAAAAATCAGGAAAATAACAAAATACTAGGCGTACCAAGGTATTCTAAATTTTCTAGGCCCCTGTCCACCCTGTCCAAAAATGGTTGAAAACCGATGTCACTGTGGACAGATGCCACCACAGCCTCGCAGATGTTGCTCAAAGAACTGGTCGTGTGGACAACCCTGCAGTCAGATGCTCTCCTGCCAACAACACAAGTGTGAGGAACCTTGTCATCCAGGAAAGTGCAAGAAGTGCCCTAGACAGAGCCGCCAGAATTGTAACTGTGGTTCTGAGACAAGCCTTAGGGAATGTGCTGACCCAAATTGGCAGTGTGGAAAGGTCAGTCATTTAGTGATAAGAAGTCCTGCAACATACTTGGCACTGCATGATATTTGATTGTGTACATCAAATTTATATTTTTAGTTTCACAGATGGAATATTTGAAATACATTGCAATTATATAATGCATTTTCCTATTTTAAATATAGGTAGAGCAATATAAAGTTATTACAAAAAATGGCAAAATACAATGTTTCTTCAGTACTCCATTATATTTAATTTTATTAGTGAATAGCCTAGCACATAATTTTTGTATACTTCACAGGCCTGTGGTAAGCGTCTGAATTGTGGACACCATCTCTGTCAGAAAATTTGTCACAGTGAGGATTGTGGCGACTGTCCACAAAGTGGGGAGCGCAAGTGCCCCTGTGGTAAGACCCAGCATATTCTCCCCTGCACACAGCAAATTCCAACCTGTGGAGACACCTGTGGAAAGCTGTTGTCTTGTGGAATACATTTCTGTGCTGAACGCTGTCATAGAGGAGCATGTTCCCAGGTCAGTTCATTTTCTTTCATTCTTAGTTCTGCCCCATTTTTTCTCTGTTAACACAGAGTTAAATACCCTATCTTTTGTGGAAAAAACATTTAATTAAACTATAGGAAAAGTCTATGTTAACCCTGTCTTTCTCCACTTTTAGTGCCTTCAGTTTCGTGTGAAAAAGTGTCGCTGTGGGTCGAAGCAAAAGGAAATGGCCTGCAGCAAGGAATTAACTTGTGAAATAAAGTGCAAGAACTTGCGAGATTGTCGTCGGCATACATGTAACAAGAAAGTAAGATGTCACCCACAATGCTATTAACCTTAGTTAGATTTAATGTAATCATCATTTCCTTTTTGATATTTTATTATTAGTCTTGGGAAAATTAATTATCTCTTGAAAATGAAACATAATATGTACATCACACAAAAAGCAGGTGTATACTTTATTAGACAGTTAAAAGACATGGATTTCTCTCTCTCTCTTTCTTTTCTTTCTTTCTTTCTTCTTCCTCTTCTTCATTGTATCATCAAAAGAACAGAAATGTCCTTATAATGATTTTTTTTTCTTCTTTTTTCTTTCTTGTCTTTTCCTTTCTTTTCTTTCAAGATTTTCCAGCAGTTGGCTAGATCAAGTCTTGTAGAAACACTACCCAGAGGTATTATAATTTATACATTAAATTATATCAGTATATTTTCTTGAAGCCATCTGAAAATTGTCAGATGTGGTTGCTCTTACTGTCCTGATTATGATTATTTTTACTTGTTTCCTTTTTTCTTTTCTTTCTTCTACCTCTTGCCTTACACTTTCTTTTCCTTTGCAGTGTTGTCTTGGTGACTGCCCCAGGTGTGAGCAACCCTGTAGTCGGACACTGACTTGCCGCAACCACAAATGTGAAAGCCGCTGCCACCAAGGACCTTGCTACCCATGCACTATTATGCACACTATCACATGCCGCTGCGGAAAGAGGAAGATTCGAGTGCCATGTGGTCGAGAAAAGTATACCAAGCCACCAAAGTGCTCTGAGCCTTGTCGGTAAGTAATGGCAGATATTGATGAAAACTCTTTCAAGATCAGAGTTCTTGTAATATAGAGATACAGGTCAGTATATTCTGACTTTTTATAAGTGTCCAAAAATGATCTTGTCTGTAACTTTCTCCCCCTCCCCCCCCTTTTTTTATGACAGTGATGATACTTAGTTAATTCCATTTCACCCAGAATATAGGTCACATAACCTCTCTCAACAGAGTGCCACCAACCTGCCATCATCCTGAACGTGAACTGCACAAATGCCATCAGGGAAACTGTCCCACCTGTCGATTAGTCTGCAACTTAAAGCTCAAGTGTGGTCATGTCTGCCCTGCACCATGCCATGATGCAGTTCCTGTTAAGGTAACCAGGAATTTCATCTCTATCTTTCTGCTTCCCTCTCTGTTTTTCACTACTTCTCTGTTTCTCTTTACATCTCTCTCTCTCTCTCTCTCTCTCTCTCTCTCTCTCTCTCTCTCTCTCTCTCTCTCTCTCTCTCTCTCTACATCTCTCTCTACATCTCTCTCTCTCTCTCTCTCTCTCTCTCTCTCTCTCTACATCTCTCTCTCTCTCTCTCTCTCTCTCTCTCTCTCTCTCTCTCTCTCTCTCTCTCTCTACATCTCTCTCTCTCTCTCTCTC